ACATGAGACACGTGTTTTTTAAGCGTGTGTAGATGTTACATTTTGTATATTGTTATTTTTATACACAATGTATTTTTCATTTGTCAGCAATCTAACTCAACAATTTTTGTATATCATATGGGATCATGATTCATTCATTATACAGTCACTTGAAATAAGTATATCATACAAATAAGTCTAAACAAGTGACAAACCATACAACATATATGCCCACTGGATCTCAGAGTGATAGAGATACATGGTTAATACAAATATTTATATAAGTCTGAAAATTACACCAAACAGTGTTAGAGTTAGATTTTCTACTGACAATTTTTTGTCCGTCCCTCAGCGGGATTCGAACTCACACCTTTGATACACTACAGCACCAATCGCTTAGCCTCATGTCCAGCGCTCATATATATATATATATATATATATATATATATGCAAGTCTTAATTAAAAACTACGTTCAAATCTATGATTGCGTTGGATAAAAACCGCAATTTTTATACGTGTGCATGTAAAACAAATTTCGTTGTAGAAGGGTCTAAATACAGCACAGACAACATTTTCCAAAAGACCAAAAAAGTGAAAAAGTATATTTTAACAAAACGCATTTGACTAATAGTATATAATAGCATATATATCTTCAGACAAAAGATATCCCCATTGACGCCATCTCATCTTTTACATGAAAGTATAATTTCGAAAACAGAGATGCACATCGACATTCACAACGCGAATATTCAAGAACTTGACACGATCACAGAAAACAAACTACAATGTATTTGAAAGAAAAAGACTTTTACTGAGTATTGGACAATTTTGGAAAACGTTGGTCTAACGAATATCCTTCCGAATTACGTGAATACCTTCGAGCCTCCGGAAAACTTAATGGTTAAGTTAACATCGGTGATGTAGTTCAATTAGAAAATGAACCACCACGACTTTAATGGAACAATTGAAGATTTCATTAAAGGAGGAGATGGACTTATTCGTGCAGCAAAAGTGGGGACTTCTAGATCACTAGTTACCACATGCACACAATTGTGGAGTGATATTCAATAGAGCTATAGTACTAGTAACTGTTAGGGTTGACCAAAACACAATCCTTTTCAGAAATGTACATAGTTATATACTAGTATGCCATACAAAAAAGATTCTTTGATTAATATTGCTGTATCTTAAAGTGTACTCGTACCCAACTGTTACTGTTTGAACATAATATGCTTATTGTATTATATTTTTCATATTGTACTGAATTATACAATTGCTATCATCTTGAAATTTTGTATATTATTATATTATTTTAAGTTTTTTATAATTTGTATCCGATCCTATTGTATATTTAGACAATAAAATTTGTTTAAACTAACTGTTAAATGAATTTTGTGAAGAAAGTTAACGTACTATAAAATTTTACAAAAAAAAAAATCCATTCTTATCTTTTTTTATAGAACTTTAATAGTTTTAATAATGTATCACTTTAAAATAAGCTAATGTGTTTTGAATTTTGAAGCCCCCAGAATGTCGGCAATACTGGCAAAAAGACTTATGAACAATATGTCATATAATTGTTCCCGTACTTTCGCGTATACTATTGTAAGTCCACACTGAAATGATTTTTTTGGTAAGCCTCGCCAGCGCTGTACGGTAAAGATCGCCACCGGAAATAGCTTAAATGAAAGGTAATAAATTGGGAAAGGCCACACTGAAATGCATTTTTGGGAATTAGGCCCATTCGGAAATTGTTGGGGTTCAAAGTTGCTGTCAAGGACAAAAATATGTATACACCCTATATTCTTTCGGTAAGCCTCGCCAGCGCTGTACGGTAAAGTTCGCCACCGGACATGGCTCAAATGAAAGGTAATAACTTGGGGAAGGCCACACTGAAATGAATTTTTGGGAGTTAGGCCCATTCGGAAATTGTTGGGGTTCAAAGTTGCTGTTAAGGAAAAAAATATGTATACACTCTATATTCTTTCGGTAAGCTTCGCTAGCGCTGTACGGTAAAGTTCGCCACTGGACATGGCTCAAATGAAAGGTAAAAACTTGGGGAAGGCCACACTGAAATGAATTTTTGGGAGTTAGGCCCATTGGGAAATTGTTGGGGTTCAAAGTTGCTGTTAAGGAAAAAAATATGTATACACCTTATATTCTTTCGGTAAGCCTCGCCAGCGCTGTACGGTAAAGTTCGCCACCGGACATGGCTCAAATGAAAGGTTATAAATTGGGGAAGGCCACACTGAAATGAATTTTTGGGAGTTAGGCCCATTTGGAAATTGTTGGGGTTCAAAATTGCTGTTAAGGAAAAAAATATGTATACACTCTATATTCTTTCGGTAAGCCTCGCCAGTGCTGTACGGTAAAGTTCGCCACAAGACATGGCTCAAATGAAAGGTAATAACTTGGGGAAGGCCACACTGAAATGAATTATTGGGAGTTAGGCCCATTCGGGGTTGGGGTTTAAAGTTGGTAGGTTTTTACTATACATTTTTGGGACAGGTGGGGGCTTTCCATAAGTATTTCTATTGATATGTTTTAAATGTTTCTAGCGTTAAGGTTATATTTCTATTGTTTTAAGAAATATTGTAAATAAAATACATCTTTAATGTTGTTTTATTGATAAAAACTATATTTTACATAAAAACAATTATGCAACTTACATAAGGCATTATATTCGAGGACAACGAGAATTTACGATAGCTTGAAGGGGTCATTAAATGATTTCCTACGTATTTTTTCACTCCTCTTAACTCTCAATTTTTTATGATTTTCAAATAAGTTTTAATATTGAACCGACTGCTCACATCTAGTTGGATATAGAATATCGAACCGGCGGCTAACTGCACATATATTAGTTATGTAGAAACTAGATATTTCTATACACATTGACACCAATATGCCGGATTTAGAAATCAAGCTAGTGAGTGCTTTCAGTTACTGACGTCATTTGTGTTGGTTTGTTCAACGTTCACTTCTAAGGCTGAACATCTGTGGTCATTTAGGCGTTAAAAAATAATACATATATCGTATTGGTAGCTAGAATTTCGAAAAAAAAGTGGCTGCTATCATTATTGGTATTTAAAACGAAAAAATCCTTTGAGAATCACTACAAGCCGTGAAATTGTCGAATTCCGCTCTTAAATTACATTTAACTTAGATTTTGAGATTTTTGGAACGTTCGAGTCTGTTATAGTTTTTGGGTTTTTAGACATATCATCAAAATTGGCTGCTGGAAAAAAGTGGCTGCTATCTTGATTGGCTGCTAAAAGTGGCTGCCAGCTTGAGTCTTGTAAATAACTCTACTATAAATGGAAGCAAAAAGTCGCAAAGTTCAATGAAATATTCGTTTAACAAAATGTCAAGTCCGTGACTTTTACTACGCTTCAATAGTTTAATAACCTGCTCAACTTCATTATTTGTTATTAGCATCAAGCTCATCGAAAACACAATTGCTTTCTGCAGTTGATTCATTTTCCAAATCAAAATTGATTTCCAGTCCAAGATCTTTAAAGTGCTCATAAAAATCGTTTAATTTCAAATTACTTTTAAGCGTTTGCTTTTTTGGCTTAAACTTTGCATAAAATAATTTTGGGTTTGTTTTGCGAATTACACTAAGCATGTCACCTTCTTGTTTCATGTATGACGTTTCAGATAACGTTCCTTTAATTTGTATGTTTTCTTGCGATCATTTAATGTTTTATGATTATTTGTAGAACTGTTGCTGTTAAACGTATTCAATGCCCTTATGTAATTTCGATGTAAAGTTTTAAACTCATCTGAAAACCACGTTTATCAAAATTCAGCTTTGCGTTTCTGTGTTCAGATTTATATATTGTAGTAGCAATAGCCACTACGGCTTTCAAACACTGATAAAAAGTCATTTTCTGATATATTATTAGATATTTTATTTACAATTGTTTCTTGTACTGAGTCAAATTCGAAGTGTAATGGAGCATGGTCCGAAAATGTCGTAAAACTGCATACAATAAACCTTCGAATCAATTCAAAATTTTGTTCCTGTGTTATACATTTTTGTAAGATAGTCATTGACACTAGTTCCGTTCGCACCACAGTATGTATAACTGTTTGAGTAGCCTTCGCTATGGTGTCCATTAACAATTCGAAATCCGGATGATTTGCACAAGGAGAGTTATTTAAAACCCCATGTGTTAATTTTCAAGTCCGGATTTACTCTTAGAGGAAGTTGTGAATCCGCTGAATACGAAGTAAGGTCAGTAAGAGAATCCGGCAAATTGTCTTCTTTTATGTGATCGTCATATGTGCTTGTCCGACTATTAGTGTCCCCACAAATAAAATTTATTTCTTTTGTTGAGTAATTTTCTAAGACGGATTCAAGATCTTCAAACAAATCATTTACATCATACTGTTTGTAGAAAACCGATTTATACGGCGGAATATATACAAATACTAAGTATCTATCTTAATCGTTTTCAAAAAAAAAAAACGATTTGTCGATTGTTATCACTATCATAGAGGCCTTTATAATTTCACATACAGAGATTTTCAGTTCTAAATGTTTCTAATACGGGAAAACCATTCCCCACCTTGAGTACTTTTCGAACGCATGCGCGGTACAATGACTGGACAACCAGGCTGAAGCTAGCGAACAATAACTAGCGAACAATAAGCCAGCGAACAATAAGGCGATATATCTAAACACCGAAAAAATGAATAAGACAGCAACGGCCTTTAAATGAAAAATATTTAAACAGGCAGAAATTCCGTCCAAATATTGCAATTTCAACTCTATCATGAAATGGTATTTATCCCATCCATTGATAAAACAAATCACATCTCTTTTAAGGCTAATATTCAGTACCACAGTAAATCTGCATCTGTCAACGGGTTATTTGTAGGTGTAAAACTACCAATGCACCCACTTCCATTTAGAACGCATGTAAAAGTAGTCCTTCCCTGTAAAATACAGCACCTTTGATGTCATTGTTTGCAGAAATGGGGATTGGCCTATTCCATGGCTTCTTGAGAAAAATAATGACGGGTATCACGGGGTATGACTATATAAGTCTTGTAGAGGACAAACAGGCGCATCTTTTGCGCAAGGTATCGAAGGGCGCTATGTTCAAAAATCTGAAACTAAAGCTCAAAATTTAAAAAAAAAATTGTTAAAAACAGGGGGGTTGGCCTATTCCATGGCTTCTACAGAAAAAAAATCAGGAGTGTCACGGGGTATGACTATATAGGTCTTGTAGAGGAGAAACAGACGCATCTTTTGCGCAAGATACCGAAGGGCGCTATGTTCAAAAATCTAAAACTAGAGCTCAAAATTTGAAAAAAAAATTGTTAAAAACCGGGGGGTTGGCCTATTCCATGGCTTCTAGAGAAAAATAATGAGGGGTGTCACGGGGTATGACTATATAGGTCTTGTAGAGGAGAAACAGGCGCATCTTTTGCGTTAGGTATCGAAGGGCGCTATGTTCAAAAATCTGAAACTAGAGCTCAAAATTTGAAAAAAAAATTTGTTAAAAACAGGGGGTTGGCCTAAACCATGGCTTCTAGAGAAAAATAATGAGGGGTGTAACGGGGTATGACTATAAAGTTCTTGTAGAAGAGAAACAGGCGCATCTTTTGCGCAAGGTATCGAAGGGCGCTATGTTCAAAAATCTGAAACTAGAGCTCAAAATTTGAAAAAAATTTGTTAAAAACAGGGGGGGTTGGCCTTTTCCTTGGCTTCTACAGAAAAATAATGAGGGGTGTCACGGGGTATGACAATATAGGTCTTGTAGAAGAGAAACAGGCGCATCTCTTGCGCAAGGTATCGAAGGGCGCTATGTTCAAAAATCTGAAACTAGAGCTCAAAATTTGAAAAAAAATTGTTAAAAACAGGGGGATTGGCCTATTCCATGGCTTCTAGAGAAAAATAATGAGGAGTGTCAGGGGGTATGACTATATAGGTCTTGTAGAGGAGAAACAGGCGCATCTTTTGCGCAAGGTATCGAAGGGCGCTATGTTCAAAAATCTGAAACTAGAGCTCAAAATTTGAAAAAAAAATGTTAAAAACAGGGGGGTTGGCCTATTCCATGGCTTCTACAGAAAAATAATGAGGGGTGTCACGGTGTATGACTATATAGGTCTTGTAGAGGAGAAACAGGCGCATCTTTTGCGCAAGGTATCGAAGGGCGCTATGTTCAAAAATCTGAAACTAGAGCTCAAAATTTGAAAAAAATTTGTTAAAAACAGGGGGGGTTGGCCTTTTCCTTGGCTTCTACAGAAAAATAATGAGGGGTGTCACGGGGTATGACAATATAGGTCTTGTAGAAGAGAAACAGGCGCATCTCTTGCGCAAGGTATCGAAGGGCGCTATGTTCAAAAATCTGAAACTAGAGCTCAAAATTTGAAAAAAATTGTTAAAAACAGGGGGGTTGGCCTATTCCATGGCTTCTAGAGAAAAATAATGAGGGGTGTCACGGGGTATGACTATATAGTTCTTGTAGAGGAGAAACAGGCACATCTTTTGCGCAAGGTATCGAAGGGCGCTACGTTCAAAAATCTGAAACTAGAGCTCAAAATTTGAAAAAAATTGTTAAAAACAGGGGGGTTGGCCTATTCCATGGTTTCTAGAGAAAAATAATGAGGGGTGTCACGGGGTATGACTATATAGGTCTTGTAGAGGAGAAACAGGCGCATTTTTTGCGCAAGGTATCGAAGGGCGCTATGTTCAAAAATCTGAAACTAGAGCTCAAAATTTGAAAAAAAAATGTTAAAAACAGGGGGGTTGGCCTATTCCATGGCTTCTACAGAAAAATAATGAGGGGTGTCACGGGATATGACTATATAGGTCTTGTAGAGGAGAAACAGGCGCATCTTTTGCGCAAGGTATCGAAGGGTGCTATGTTCAAAAATCTGAAACTAGAGCTCAAAATTTGAAAACAAAATGTTAAAAACAGGGGGGTTGGCCTATTCCATGGCTTCTACAGAAAAATAATGAGGGGTGTCACGCGGTATGAAAATATAGGTCTTGTAGAAGAGAAACAAGCGCATCTCTTGCGCAAGGTATCGAAGGGCGCTATGTTCAAAAATCTGAAACTAGAGATCAAAATTTGAAAAAAAATTCTTAACAATAGGGGGGTTGGCCTATTCCATGGTTTATAGAGAAAAATAATGAGGGGTGTCACGGGGTATGACTATATAGGTCTTGTAGAGGAGAAACAGGCGCATTTTTTGTGCAAGGTATCGAAGGGCGCTATGTTAAAAAATCTGAAACTAGAGCTCAAAATTTGAAAAAAAATTGTTAAAAACAGGGGGATTGGCCTATTCCATGGCTTCTAGAGAAAAATAATGAGGAGTGTCACGGGTATGACTATATAGGTCTTGTAGAGGAGAAACAGGCGCATCTTTTGCGCAAGGTATCGAAGGGCGCTATGTTCAAAAATCTGAAACTAGAGCTCAAAATTTGAAAAAAAAATGTTAAAAACAGGGGGGTTGGCCTATTCTATGGCTTCTAGAGAAAAATAATGAGGGGTGTCACGGGGTATGACTATATAGGTCTTGTAGAGGAAAAACAGGCGCATCTTTTGCGCAAGGTATCGTAGGGTGCTATGTTCAAAAATCTGAAACTAGAGCTCAAAATTTGAAAAAAAAATTGTTAAAAACAGGGGATTGGCCTAAACCATGGCTTCTAGAGAAAAATAATGAGGGGTGTCACGGGGTATGACAGTATAGGTCTTGTAGAAGAGAAACAGGCGCATCTCTTGCGCAAGGTATCGAAGGGTGCTATGTTCAAAAATCTGAAACTAGAGCTGAAAATTTGAAAAAAATTGTTAAAAACAGGGGGGTTGGCCTATTCCATGGCTTCTACAGAAAAATAATGAGGGTGTCACGGGGTATGACTATATAGGTCTTCTAGAAGAGAAACAGGCGCATCTTTTGAGTAAGGTATCGAAGGGCGCTATGTTCAAAAATCTGAAACTAGAGCTCAAAATTTGAAAAAAAATTGTTAAAAACAGGGGGATTGGCCTATTCCATGGCTTCTAGAGAAAAAAAATGAGGAGTGTCACGGGGTATGACTATATAGGTCTTGTAGAGGAGAAACAGGCGCATCTTTTGCGCAAGGTATCGAAGGGCGCTATGTTCAAAAATCTGAAACTAGAGCTCATAATTTGAAAAAAAAATGTTAAAAACAGAGGGGTTGGCCTATTCCATGGCTTCTACAGAAAAATAATGAGGGGTGTCACGGGGTATAACTATATAGGTCTTGTAGAGGAGAAACAGGCGCATCTTTTGCGCAAGGTATCGAAGGGCGCTATGTTCAAAAATCTGAAACTAGAGCTCAAAATTTGAAAAAAAAAATGTTAAAAACAGGGGGGTTGGCCTATTCCATGGCTTCTACAGAAAAATAATGAGGGGTGTCACGGGGTATGACTATATAGGTCTTGTAGAGGAGAAACAGGCGCATCTTTTGCGCAAGGTATCGAAGGGCGCTATGTTCAAAAATCTGAAACTAGAGCTCAAAATTTGAAAAAAAGAATTGTTAAAAACAGGAGATTGGCCTAAACCATGGCTTCTAGAGAAAAATAATGAGGGGTGTCACAGGGTATGACTATATACGTCTTGTAGAAGAGAAACAGGAGCATCTTTTGCGCAAGGTTTCCAAGGGCGCTATGTTCAAAATTCTGAAACTAGAGCTCAAAATTTGAAAAAAAATTGTTAAAAACAGGGGGGTTGGCCTAATCCATGGCTTCTACAGAAAAATAATGAGGGGTGTCAAGGGGTATGACAATATAGGTCTTGTAGAAGAGAAACAGGCGCATCTCTTGCGCAAGGTATCGAAGGGCGCTATGTTCAAAAATCTGAAACTAGAGCTCAAAATTTGAAAAAAATTGTTAAAAACAGGGGGGTTGGCCTATTCCATGGCTTCTACAGAAAAATAATGAGGGGTGTCACGGGGTATGACTATATAGGTCTTGTAGAGGAGAAACAGGCGCATCTTTTGCGCAAGGTATCGAAGGGCGCTATGTTCAAAAATCTGAAACTAGAGCTCAAAATTTGAAAACAAAATGTTAAAAACAGGGGGGTTGGCCTATTCCATGGCTTCTACAGAAAAATAATGAGGGGTGTCACGGGGTATGACAATATAGGTCTTGTAGAAGAGAAACAGGCGCATCTCTTGCGCAAGGTATCGAAGGGCGCTATGTTCAAAAATCTGAAACTAGAGATCAAAATTTGAAAAAAAATTGTTAACAACAGGGGGGTTGGCCTATTCATGGTTTCTAGAGAAAAATAATGAGGGGTGTCACGGGGTATGACTATATAGGTCTTGTAGAGGAGAAACAGGCGCATTTTTTGTGCAAGGTATCGAAGGGCGCTATGTTAAAAAATCTGAAACTAGAGCTCAAAATTTGAAAAAAATTTGTTAAAAACAGGGGGATTGGCCTATTCCATGGCTTCTAGAGAAAAATAATGAGAAGTGTCACGGGTATGACTATATAGGTCTTGTAGAGGAGAAACAGGCGCATCTTTTGCGCAAGGTATCGAAGGGCGCTATGTTCAAAAATCTGAAACTAGAGCTCAAAATTTGAAAAAAAAAATGTTAAAAACAGGGGGTTTGGTCTATTCTATGGCTTCTAGAGAAAAATAATGAGGGGTGTCACGGGGTATGACTATATAGGTCTTGTAGAGGAGAAACAGGCGCATCTTTTGCGCAAGGTATCGTAGGGTGCTATGTTCAAAAATCTGACACTAGAGCTCAAAATTTGAAAAAAAAATTGTTAAAAACAGGGGATTGACCTAAACCATGGCTTCTAGAGAAAAATAATGAGGGGTGTCACGGGGTATGACAGTATAGGTCTTGTAGAAGAGAAACAGGCGCATCTCTTGCGCAAGGTATCGAAGGGTGCTATGTTCAAAAATCTGAAACTAGAGTTGAAAATTTGAAAAAAATTGTTAAAAACAGGGGGGTTGGCCTATTCCATGGCTTCTACAGAAAAATAATGAGGGTGTCACGGGGTATGACTATATAGGTCTTCTAGAAGAGAAACAGGCGCATCTTTTGAGTAAGGTATCGAAGGGCGCTATGTTCAAAAATCTGAAACTAGAGCTCAAAATTTGAAAAAAAATTGTTAAAAACAGGGGGATTGGCCTATTCCATGGCTTCTAGAGAAAAATAATGAGGGGTGTCACGGGGTATGACTATATAGGTCTTGTAGAGGAGAAACAGGCGCATCTTTTGCGCAAGGTATCGAAGGGCGCTATGTTCAAAAATCTGAAACTAGAGCTCAAAATTTGAAAAAAAAATGTTAAAAACAGAGGGGTTGGCCTATTCCATGGCTTCTACAGAAAAATAATGAGGGGTGTCACGGGGTATGACTATATAGGTCTTGTAGAAGAGAAACAGGCGCATCTTTTGCGCAAGGTATCGAAGGGCGCTATGTTCAAAAATCTGAAACTAGAGCTCAAAATTTGAAAAAAAAATGTTAAAAACAGGGGGGTTGGCCTATTCCATGGCTTCTACAGAAAAATAATGAGGGGTGTCACGGGGTATGACTATATAGGTCTTGTAGAGGAGAAACAGGCGCATCTTTTGCGCAAGGTATCAAAGGGCGCTATGTTCAAAAATCTGAAACTAGAGCACAAAATTTGAAAAAAAAATGTTAAAAACAGAGGGGTTGGCCTATTCCATGGCTTCTACAGAAAAATAATGAGGGGTGTCACGGGGTATGACTATATAGGTCTTGTAGAGGAGAAACAGGCGCATCTTTTGCGCAAGGTATCGAAGGGCGCTATGTTCAAAAATCTGAAACTAGAGCTCAAAATTTGAAAAAAATTGTTAAAAACAGGGGGGTTGGCCTATTCCATGGCTTCTACAGAAAAATAATGAGGGGTGTCACGGGGTATGACTATATAGGTCTTGTAGAGGAGAAACAGGCGCATCTTTTGCGCAAGGTATCGAAGGGCGCTATGTTCAAAAATCTGAAACTAGAGCTCAAAATTTGAAAACAAAATGTTAAAAACAGGGGGGTTGGCCTATTCCATGGCTTCTACAGAAAAATAATGAGGGGTGTCACGGGGTATGACAATATAGGTCTTGTAGAAGAGAAACAGGCGCATCTCTTGCGCAAGGTATCGAAGGGCGCTATGTTAAAAAATCTGAAACTAGAGCTCAAAATTTGAAAAAAATTTGTGAAAAACAGGGGGATTGGCCTATTCCATGGCTTCTAGAGAAAAATAATGAGAAGTGTCACGGGTATGACTATATAGGTCTTGTAGAGGAGAAACAGGCGCATCTTTTGCGCAAGGTATCGAAGGGCGCTATGTTCAAAAATCTGAAACTAGAGCTCAAAATTTGAAAAAAAAAATGTTAAAAACAGGGGGTTTGGTCTATTCTATGGCTTCTAGAGAAAAATAATGAGGGGTGTCACGGGGTATGACTATATAGGTCTTGTAGAGGAGAAACAGGCGCATCTTTTGCGCAAGGTATCGTAGGGTGCTATGTTCAAAAATCTGACACTAGAGCTCAAAATTTGAAAAAAAAATTGTTAAAAACAGGGGATTGACCTAAACCATGGCTTCTAGAGAAAAATAATGAGGGGTGTCACGGGGTATGACAGTATAGGTCTTGTAGAAGAGAAACAGGCGCATCTCTTGCGCAAGGTATCGAAGGGTGCTATGTTCAAAAATCTGAAACTAGAGTTGAAAATTTGAAAAAAATTGTTAAAAACAGGGGGGTTGGCCTATTCCATGGCTTCTACAGAAAAATAATGAGGGTGTCACGGGGTATGACTATATAGGTCTTCTAGAAGAGAAACAGGCGCATCTTTTGAGTAAGGTATCGAAGGGCGCTATGTTCAAAAATCTGAAACTAGAGCTCAAAATTTGAAAAAAAATTGTTAAAAACAGGGGGATTGGCCTATTCCATGGCTTCTAGAGAAAAATAATGAGGGGTGTCACGGGGTATGACTATATAGGTCTTGTAGAGGAGAAACAGGCGCATCTTTTGCGCAAGGTATCGAAGGGCGCTATGTTCAAAAATCTGAAACTAGAGCTCAAAATTTGAAAAAAAAATGTTAAAAACAGAGGGGTTGGCCTATTCCATGGCTTCTACAGAAAAATAATGAGGGGTGTCACGGGGTATGACTATATAGGTCTTGTAGAAGAGAAACAGGCGCATCTTTTGCGCAAGGTATCGAAGGGCGCTATGTTCAAAAATCTGAAACTAGAGCTCAAAATTTGAAAAAAAAATGTTAAAAACAGGGGGGTTGGCCTATTCCATGGCTTCTACAGAAAAATAATGAGGGGTGTCACGGGGTATGACTATATAGGTCTTGTAGAGGAGAAACAGGCGCATCTTTTGCGCAAGGTATCAAAGGGCGCTATGTTCAAAAATCTGAAACTAGAGCTCAAAATTTGAAAAAAAAATGTTAAAAACAGAGGGGTTGGCCTATTCCATGGCTTCTACAGAAAAATAATGAGGGGTGTCACGGGGTATGACTATATAGGTCTTGTAGAGGAGAAACAGGCGCATCTTTTGCGCAAGGTATCGAAGGGCGCTATGTTCAAAAATCTGAAACTAGAGCTCAAAATTTGAAAAAAAAAATGTTAAAAACAGGGGGGTTGGCCTATTCCATGGCTTCTACAGAAAAATAATGAGGGGTGTCACGGGGTATGACTATATAGGTCTTGTAGAGGAGAAACAGGCGCATCTTTTGCGCAAGGTATCGAAGGGCGCTATGTTCAAAAATCTGAAACTAGAGCTCAAAATTTGAAAAAAAGAATTGTTAAAAACAGGAGATTGGCCTAAACCATGGCTTCTAGAGAAAAATAATGAGGGGTGTCACAGGGTATGACTATATACGTCTTGTAGAAGAGAAACAGGAGCATCTTTTGCGCAAGGTTTCCAAGGGCGCTATGTTCAAAAATCTGAAACTAGAGCTCAAAATTTGAAAAAAAATTGTTAAAAACAGGGGGGTTGGCCTAATCAATGGCTTCTACAGAAAAATAATGAGGGGTGTCACGGGGTATGACAGCTGATCTTTCTCATCATAGTAATTCTTGAGGCATCTTGCGATCTTACCAAACTCAGCATCATCAATTTGTTCATCATCAGCCAAAGCAGTACTAATACATTGTTCATCCAAGGATTTTGTGGACTGTGCCAATCGCAAGGTGTCGCGGTGTTTTTTCTTCTTTTTCATGATACGCCCTGAGATCAGTGTGAGTACCATCACGCCAGTGGCACTCAAGCAAGCAAGGGATCCTAGGGGAAGGGAGGCTATAATACCTATACCGGTCAAAGCTGAACCCATGGTGCAGCTGGTCAACATCAAACTGGCTGATTGTAGATCTTCAAGGTACGTTGATACTTAAGAATATCCGCGTTGAGTTGGTTTTCCATACATTCGACTCTGGTCTGCCGGTATCCAGAATCTAAATCATCCATTTATTTATAGGAGCATACCGAGGATGGGGAATGTTTTTGAAGGGCTGTTAGCACCTAAGACCAGACCGGCTCCGTCGTGGAATTGCTGACCACGCTTTAAGTAGAGTCCATCATCATAGGTGATCCATGCGTTTGAGGGTTTGAGGTAGAGACCGTTGCCACTAGGTTTCACGGTATAAACACACCCACCACGTTTCAGGTACAATCCAGACCCTAAGGCCTTGTTGATGGCTACACCACCCAGACCGCCCAAGGCTCCCACACCCAAGGCAGGTAGAATTGTCTTAGCTACCATGGGAAGTGCCCTCATTACCAGCCCTGCCAACATGGGTAGGAATCCACCTACTTTTTGCATGTGTTCCTTCATTTGGGCGGCACTCAGCTACAGATTCATACCACCAGTACCTTTCTGGAGAAGCTTTATAATCTTTTGAACCTGCCAAGAGGTGAGCCACATCTTGTGTTCTGGGGGTCAGTGTTGTTTGCAATTCGTCGCAAAAATGTGTTATCCATTTATTCATGGTACACCATTGTCACATATTTTTGCTTCCACTCTTCGATACCGTCATACTGCTCCTTGAGTTGTCTACCAGCCTTCACCACAATCGCATAGACTTCGGCAGGGCGGCTGCAAAGAGGTGTAAATTTTATCCATTTTTTACCTTTAGAAAACACAACGTTCATCTTCTGATCATCGGATTCAAACTGTAGGATTCTGTCGGAAATGATAAGTGCAAATGCTCTGGTGTTGGCCTCCACGTTACGCTCGAACTGGGCCCGGATCTGAATGTCCACCGTGGATTCTTTCAGCCGCTCGGACTGGTGACTCACGTCAATGACAAACAAGGGGTACAGATCGATGAAGTCAGAGGGGTTGATGCCACCGTTGCTGAGGAGGGTGTCCATGTTGTGTAATTTCTTCCTGAAGTCAGCAACCTCTTTGAACACTCTGGCTACCCTGTTTTCGGTGAAAACGGCATTGTAGTCGACGGCCGGGTAGCGTTCAGCGTTGAGAGTGACATGAATGTTAAGCAATCGACAGAAATCGAACACGGCAACTTTGCGCTCCTGGTTCCCACTTCCCTCGGTTTGGAAGGCAACGATGATGTTCCTGGGCTTCTCGCGACCGCTCTTGGCAGATAAGCGCCAGCTGAACTGTGAGGCTTGGGGGACGGCTATGGAATCGCACTGCCTCATTCGAAATCCACAGTTGATCTTCGCTTTACTCTGAATGGTTTTGTATAGCTGCATCTTGTTTTCGTCTAAAGGAGTGACGTGGGGGACGAACCATGAGATCTTACGTAGGACAACTTTTCCCACGTCGACGGCGCGGTCCCTCAGGATGGCATTTGTATCTGAATCGCGCACGAGTGTGATTTCATGCCTGAACCCGTACACGATCTTGTCGTAGTCATCAGCGAACCCAAAAATGTGCTTCAGGGGGATGCCGAATGAAAACGACCCTTTGTTTGCCGGCTTGGCAATGATGAAGCCACGGCGCGCTACAAAGCCGGTGTTGTTTGCATGGGCGTCGATGGAGGAATCCTTGAACCACAGTTGGTTGAGACCTTGTGATTTGGAAAAGTCGTCGGGGTAGGTCAACATTCCCATCATGGTGGTGGCGACGCCGGGGTCGTTGATGTGCTCGATAGCTGATGTTTCTGAAGAGATACATGATACCATTATGGACGAGGGACACGAGATCAGCGTCGGCATATGCAGTGCCGTCATTCTTTAGGAGCCGTCCTTCTACCAAGAGATAACTCTCGGCGGGGTGTAGGAACAAATCCTGGGTTTCGATGTTGATTCGGATTTCAAAACCGGCACTGTTCAGCTGGGCACCGGCTTGTGGTTTGTATTCTCGAACCTGATATTCCTGGAGACTTTCGTGGAAGGTCAACCCTTCGGTGATTGTAAGGATTCAGACATAATGTATTTATTTATAGCGTTGGACGAAGTCGTGGATGGTTTTGATACCAGAGCCGGAGATAAGATTGTTCAACCGAACTTGCTCTGGCTTCTTGCGTTGAACACTTGACTGTTGGGGGGTTTTATTGCGTTTCCTGGGGCGGGTCACTTTATCAACCACATGGTCGACGGCTTTGGAGGCCCCATTTTCAACACCTTTCAAGGCTGCATTGGTGGCAGCACTCACGGCCTTACTTCCTAGGGTTTTGGCGGCAGAGGAAGTAAACATGCGTCCAGCCAAACTGGCGATTGTGTCAAACAGTCCTCTACCACCGTAGGCGTACTTTCGAGCGTAACCTTTTTTGATTTGAAACATTTATTTATAGGATGCTACGATGAAGCGCCTTATATTCCTCGATGCTGATATGTCTACCCTTTCTCATGGCATCGATAATCGACACAATTTCGTTGCGCACACCATTATTTCCTGCTCGGTATGCTTCGGCACACAGTTCCAAGCGATCGAGAAGCTGCTTGAAGTTTGAAGGTAAAAACACGGTTTGCAGCCCACTGCCAAACTTATTCTTTTGGTAGATGTGGGACACGATTTCCTTCCACTTGTAACCCTTATTCGACTTCGGGGTTCTCGAGAGGGTGGAATTGCCTTGATACATGGCACCGGAACTTTTTAGAATCTGTGCATAGTCCTCTAGGTCTTCGGGCTCGAACGATTCTGGATTCTTTTTCACCATGAGTTCCCAGAGACTAAGGGTTCCTTTGTACGTCACACCATCCACGAAAATATCATCACCGTCAAAAGTAACTGGTGAGCTTCCGATAAAGATACTATCGTTTTCAGATCGCAATTCAAAGGTGTGGTCGGCGGAAGGAGTCATACTGAGCTGCAAATACTGCCGTGCGCGGGGTCCAAAGACGGTGTATGTAGGTGGTGCGATGGGTAGTGGGTCGGCAAACTCGGGCGGTGGAGGAGGAAGGGCTGGCACTGCTGCAGGAAGGTCTGCGATCGTTTTGGTGATCTGTGAAGCTACCTCTTGCTGAGCCTCAACCACAGGCTTAAACACCTTGGAAAGGTCTCGGCTAAGTCCAATCTTGTCGAGGCGATGCTGCATATTACTGGCTTGAATTTTCCGCTTGGTGTCTTGCAACTCCCTGGCAAGCGCCTCACGCTGCTTAGGGTCGGTAATCTTGATAAACGTCATTTATTTATAGGAGCGAACGCTGTTAAACGCCCCATAGCGTTGGTGTGAACGCCGCTAAGCGTTGGTGTGAACGCCCCATAGCGTTTATAGACGTTTTTCCAAACACCTTATAGCGTTTGAAAAAATATCTCTCATTTAGCGTTTAAAAAGTTGTTGAAACAATGGGGGTAACGAGTATGGTTGTATTCTCTTCGAAAGCTTCAAGTGTCTTAGGCATAGGTCTTTACGCGGTTGGCATGGGTGTGTACACTGGTGGCCTCGAATCGTCATGGTAGGGCATTTGGGGTAGAGGAAAGCGCTCACCTTACCATACTGGCGGCCAGAGTTTCATGCGTCGAAATCACCTACACCGCTATCGATCGGGCGACGGATCGCGCGACCACACTTCCAACACATACTCCTCATATCGACTGAGTCCCACTCGAACTTACATTTGCAGGGCCACTAAAACTTGTAGGGCTGGGGTTCCTCTGTGTCTTCATACTCCATTTCCAGGAAGAAATCTTCAAACTGATCCATTCTTTATCTTATACCTCATAGAACTCATCTAATTTGTATCGGTATTTCCCTGCTGACTTGGGGCTCGTGAGATCGATGGTTACAAATCCATAGGGTTGGGACCAGCAATGCTTACATAGAGCGTCAATTTGTTACTTGGTAAGATCGTTGCAGTGGTCACGCCGGATATGATCGAGATTCTTAGCATCTTACTGAAAGAGACAGATTAAAGTTTGCATTTTCTCGGATCGATTGTCGGGGCAGTTTGAAGTAGTTCTGGCACAGGTAGGAACAATCGACGTTGTTGTGGCGACCGCGCACGTAGTAATCTTCACACGTGTTCTGTTTGCCTAGCATCAAGTCGTCGAACACCATGAGATTCTTGCGGCTGGGGTCAAGTTCCCGGGGGTCTGGTACATCGCTCCCTTGCTCGAAGAGAAAAAAGTGTCGATACCATTTGGGTGTCGTGGTTGTGGTAAGGCGTTGACCACATCGATCAACGAGTAGGGTGACTTGCCCTTGCACTGTGGGAGGTCTCGGATATCTTCCTTAGGGAAACCTTTTCCCAGCGCTTGCTGCAACAGCTGGTAGATGGGTTGGTGAAGCGATTTTCCGAAAACGTACAATCGATCGTAGTCGAGCCATCCATCGCACAGGAGTAGGTTGTTCAACAGCGTTGTCTTACCGCAGTCCGACTTCCCAATGATCAACCCTCTGATCGACTGCTGCGGTAGGAGGTAGTGATTGGTCCTTTTTGGGGCGTTGGCACTGTAGGAAATGTCTTTTATTTATTTTATTTATTTAAATAAAATAGCGATGATCTTCTGCATGAAATTTCGTAGGAAGACGGACACAGTTAACCCTGGCTAGACAATTACCAGCAACGGGCGATGGAGGAAGTTTGGCAACTGCAAGGTGTGCGGTGCCAAGAAGTCTCAGTTTGTTGCTACAACCG